GTGCTGGGATTACAGATATGAACCTATATTATTATTATTATTATTATTATTATTATTATTAGTGAGATGGAGTCTTGCCCTGTCATCCAGGCTGGAGTGCAGTGGTACAATCTCGGCTCACTGCAACCTCTGCCTCCCAGGTTCAAGCAATTCTCCTGCCTCAGGCTCCTGAGCTGGGACTACAGGCAAGCACCACCATACCTGGCTAATTTTTGTATTTTTAATAGAGATGAGGTTTTGCCATGTTGGCCAGGCTGGTCTTGAACTACTGACCTCAGGTGATCTACCCACCTTGGCCTCCCAAAGTGCTGGGGTTACAGGCATGAGCCATCATGTTTGGCCTATTTTATTTATTTATTTATTTTGAAACTTGGACTTTTGTTCTTGTTGCCCAGGCTGGAGTGCAATGGCGTAATCTCCGTTCACTACAACCTCCATTTCCTGGGTTCAAGCGATTCATCTGCCTCAGCCTCCCAAGTAGCTGGGATTACTGGCGTGCTCCACCACACCCGGCTAATTTTTTGTATTTTTAGTAGAGATGGGGTTTCACCATGTTGGCCAGGCTGATCTTGAACTCCTGGCCTCAAATGGTCCGCCTGCCTTGGCCCTCCAAAGTGCTGGCATTACAAGCATGAGCCACCATGCTGGGCCTATTTGTTGAATTCTTTATTTGTCCATTCACCCACTCACCAAAACGTATTTGTAATCCACAATCAGTACTCGCAGCACTTTCTCATGGTCATCTGCAAACATGCACGTGGGGTCGGGAGAAATATTGATGCACACTTTTTCTGCTGAGGTCGAACAAGGTGATATTCTGCCTTTTTGTGTCAACCTTATACTGTAAACAAGTGTCATTTTTCTGCTCTATTTAGTGCCATGCTTTTTTTTTTTTTTTTTTTTTTTTTTGCTTTTTATAGGGTTTTGCTGTTTAAAATGACCCCCAAACACAGTGCTGAAGTGCTGTTGAGTGTCCCTAGTGCAGGAAGGTGGTGATGTGCCTTATGAGAAAATACATGTGTGAGAGAAGCTTCATTCAGATACAAGGTATAGATAGTGCTCTTGGCCATGAGTTCAGTGTGAATGAATCAATAATTTAAATAAGACACAAAGTAATGCATTGACCATAGTTGCATCAATTATGTATTGATTGTTTGATGAAAATGTTGGCAGGGTGTGGTGGCTCATTCCTGCAATCCCAGCACTTTGGGAGGCTGAGGCGGGCTGATTACAAGGTCAGGAGTTTGAGACCAGCCTGGCCAACATGGTCTAACCCTGTCTCTACTAAAAATAAAAACAATTAGTTATGTGTGGTGGTAGGCACCTGTAATCCCAGCTACTCAGGAGGTTGAGTCAGGAGAATTGCTTGAGCCTGGGAGGCAGAGGTTGCAGTGAGCTGAGATGATGCCACTGCACTCCAGCCTGGGTGACAGAGTATGACTGTCTCAAAAATAAAAACAAAAACATAATGACTGTAAATAACACAAATTGACCGTGTTTGTTATGAAAGGGGGCTCTGGGTCTGATATGCTTGCAAATCACAGGGCAAGAGTGGCAGTTCCCAAGGCAGCAGGGAGAGACACTCAGGGGACATGTGGATTCATGGTGTCAGCAAACACAAGGACGAGGGTCCACTGTCTGGCTGTTTGCCTCTGTTTCTCTGGAGATCAGCTCTGCATTCAAAAGCCTGAGCCCATGACAGCAGCCCTGGGAAAATAGGGGAGTCTCCTCATGGCCTCAAAAGCTCATGACCTGTTGTTGCCACAGTGTCAGGGTTTGCTGGGGCTTTCAAGCTCACGAGTCATTTCCATACACCCCACTCCAACCCCTCCATTCCAGTGAGCACACTTTCTCCAGTGTGCATGGGCTCAACCTAACTCATCATTGTTTTGTTGTTGTTTGTTTTTTTGAGACAGCGTCTTGCTCTGTCACCCAGGCTGGAGTGTAATTGGCACAATTTTGGCTCATTGCAACCTCCAACTCCCGGGTTCAAGTTATCCTCTTGCCTCAGCCTCCTGAATGGCTGGGACTACAGGCATTTGTCACCAGACCTGGCTAATTTTTGTTATTTTTTGTAGAGATGGGAATTTTGCCATGTTTCCCAGGCTGGTCTTAAACTTTTAAACTCAAAGTATCCTCTCCCCTCAGCCTCCCAAAGTGCTGGGATTACAGGTGTGAGCTGCCATGCCTGGATGATTCATAATTGTTCAGAGCTCCCCCTCTTGCTCTCAAAACTGTCCTAGTTTGGAAAACAAAATATATTGTTGCCCTACTTAGAACAAATTCCGAAGGAAGGCAAGAGGGGGCCACACCCATGTCACTCTTGAGGAAATTGAGATGTACAGAGATTCCTTAACTTCCCTGCGGCCCCAAGCTGAAGGGGCATCAGAACCAGGATTTGAAATGGGGGCTCTAGTCTCCAATGCAAAGCACATTGTGCTAAGCTTCAGCCGCTGGCCTGAGGAAAGACTCAGGGGAAACCTACCTGGTGCAACTCTTCCAGGGCCCTCTTCTCCTTCTGGAGCTTGGCAATGGAGTCTTCACGGAGTGAGAGATCCCCAGTCAGGGTACGGACCTTGTGATCCAGGGCCTGGAAACCAGGGCAGGGAGAGAGGTGGGTTGTTAAGGCTGGAAACAGCCTTTGTGAAGAGGAGAGGAGGGAGTCCTCAGCTTGGGTGCACTCTAGAGTTTCCTGGGAGCTTGAGAAATGCCAGCACCCAGGGCATGTCCCAGGCCAACCAAGTCAGAACCTTGCGGGTAAAGGGGAGCAGCAAGAGCCTAGGCTCCTCAAAGTGTGGTCCCTGGATGTCAGCAGTGGCATCACCTAGGAGCATGCTAGAAATGTAGATCCTCGGGCCCCACCAGACCCGCCAGAGTCTGCACCTGACCGTATCCTTGGTGGTTTGTGTGTGTGCAGCAGAGCCGAAGCACAGGTTTAGGCAGAGTCCCTTTTACCCTGCTCATGAACCCGACCTGCCTTCAACAGCAGGAAGGGGACACATCAGGAGCCAGGGCTTCCCCCAGGGAGCTGCTCAGAGGGACAGCAACTGCTTGTTTGGGCAGAAATTCAACAGTTAAAGGTGGACACTTCACCATGATGGGAACAGCTTTTAGTCCCTTTAGTCAGCTGCCCCGCCCAGCAGAACTTTCTGTAGTGATGGACATCTTCTCTGCCTTTGCTGCCCCATGCAGTGGCACTTCACGCCCATGGCTGTTGAGCACCTGCAATGTGGCTTGTGCAACTGAGGAACTGCATTGTAAGTTGTAAATTAATGTAGCCCCATGTGGGCTGGGTACAGTGGCCCACACCTGTAATCCCAGCACTTTGGGAGGCCAAGACGGGCAGATCACTTGAGGTCAGGAGTTTGAGACCAGCCTGGCCAACATGGCAAAACCCCGTCTCTATTAAAAATACAAAAAAATTAGCCGGGTGTGGTGGTACGTGCCTGTAATCCCAGCACTGTGGGAGGCCGAGGCAGGCAGATCACCTGAGGTCAGGCGTTCAAGACTAGTCTGGCCAACATAGTAAAATCCCATCTCTACTAAAAATATGAAAATTAACCAGGTGTGGTGGTGCATACCTGTAATTCTGGCTACTCGGGAGGCTGAGGCATGAAAATCACTTGAACCCAGAAGGTGCAGTGAGCCAAGATCGTGCCACTGCACTCCAGCCTGGGCGACAGAGCAAGACTCTGTCTCAAATAAAAACCAAACAAAACCCCAAAAAATAATAACAAAAAAACAGCCATATGTGGCCAGTTGTTAGGGCACTGACCATAGCCACCATGAGGGTTCCAGGTATGGCCCCTGCAGAGCACCTGAGAAAAGCATGGCAGGGCCCCAGCCTCTCCTCACCTGCTTCTCCTTCTCTGTCTTGGCCAGCGTAGTTTCCAGGCCCTCCAGGTCCCGCTTCAGGTCGCTCAGCTCCCCTTCCAGCTTGCGCTTGGCGGCGCTCAGTGAGGCGGCCGTGCCCTCCTCTTCCTCCAGCCGCTCTCTCATGTCCGAGATCTGGCTCTCCAGCTCCATCTTGGTCTTCATCATCTGTGTCAGACGCTCCTCTGCATCCATCAGGTTCTCTTGCTCCTGTTGGGAGAAAGAGCTCCAGTCGAAGGCAGGGTCCAGGCAAAAACCACACCAAGACCCTGGACAAGCTTTGAGCTGATGGGCCTTGAACAAATGTGTCCTGGGGGTTAGATGGGATTGGACAAGGGACCAGGCTATCTCTGAACTCCTTTTTTTTTTTTGAGTCAGAGTCTTGCTTTGTTGCTCAGGCTGCAGTGCAGTGGTGCGATCACAACTCTTGAAGTCTCGACCTCTCAGGCTCAAGCAATCTTCCCACCTCAGTCCCCTAAGTAGCTGAGACTACAGGTACACACTGCAATGCCCAGCTAAGTTTATTTTTGAGACAGAGTCTCACTCTGTCACCCAGGCTGTGGTACAGTGGTGCAATCATGGCTCACTGCAGCTTTGACCTTCTAGGCTTAAGCAATTCTCCCACCTCAGCCTCCTAAGTAGCTGGGACTACAGGTGTGCCACCACACCCGGCTTATTTTTAAATGTTTTTGTAGAGATGGGGTTTCACTATGTTACCCAGTCTGGTCTTGAATTCCTGGGCTCAAGCATTCCTCCTGCCTTGGCCCCACAAAGTGTTGGGTTTACTGGCATGGGTCCCCAAATCTGGCCCAGGAGGATTCTTCCATCACTGTGGTCTAGCCCAGCCTCAGCCTCCACAAACAAAATGGGGATATCAGTTCAAACAACTTATCAGGGGTATGAAGAGGAAATAGAAAAATTATGTTGGGGGTAGCTTCAGGGACAAGGGAAGGAAAATGCAAGTGAAGACAGCCGTGGCAGAGCAGGGAGGCCTGAAGATGGAATTGGGTCCCTTCCAGGGCTAGGTTTTCTACTAATGGACCTGGGACCTTGATCAGATTTCTGAATGTCTGCCAAACTGGGTTTTCCACTCTGTATGAGGCATATGAAAATCGGGTGTCTTACAGGGCGGCTGTGAGAGTCAAATCAGGAACGGAATAGGAGAAACCTTGCAAACCAGAAGGACCCTGGCAGTGAATTCACCGCAGGACATTTAATCAGGCACCCTGCAGAAATGACGTCGTTCATTCTTCCCTGCTGTGTTTTCCTGGACAGACGAGGAAAGGAGGCTTGGAGATGGTAAGCTGCCAAGTTCATATGGCAGAGCCCAGCCCGGACTCCAGGGGATGATGTTCTCACCCCATCTTATGGCCACCATCCCTGGACTTTCCCTACAGGCAGGGCCTTGTGTGAATAAGAATTTGATGGAGGCTGGGCATAGGGGCTCACACCTGTAATTTCAGGACTTTGGGAGGCCGAAATGGGAGGACCATTTGAGGCTGGGAGTTTGAGACCAGCCTGGGTAACATAGTGAGACCCTGCCTCTAAAAAAATGCAAAAAAATTCAGTGGGCATGGTGGTGTAGTCCCAGCTACTCGGGAGGCTGAGGTGGGAGAATCGTCTGTGTCCAGGGGATGGACGCTGCAGTAAGCTGTGATCAAGCCATTCCACTCCAGCCTGGGTAACAGAGCAAGACCCTGTGTCTGTCTGTCTGTCTATCTGCTCGCTCGCTCTCTGTTTCTCTCTCTCTCTTTCTCTCTCTCTCTCTGTCTGTCTGTCTCCTCTCTCTCTCTCTGTCTCTCTCTCTCTCTCTCACACACACACACACACACACACACACACACTCACGCAAATATGATGGAAACTTTTTGGTAGTTGGGTTGAGGGTGACCTTGTATGCTGGAGAATTTCCCCATGGTCTGGAGGGACACGGGTTTTAGGAAGAGCTTGCCCTTCCTCCTTCCCTGGGTCCAGGCTGTATGTGGGTCCCCCAACCCTTCTCCCCGGGACCCTGCGTACAGCCTGCAGCTGAATGGTGAGGTCGTTCTTCTCTTGGCTGAGTGTGGCCATCTTCTCCTCCAGTTCCTTGACCTTGTTTATCAGCTCCTGGGTCTTGGCCATGGCACTCCTGAGCTCCTCCTCCTTGGCCTTCATCTCCTCCTCTTGCCGCGCCACATTCAGGAGCGGCTTGACCTGGGCAATGAGCACCACCAAAGAGTGTTAGGAGGATGGCTTTGCTGGGGGATAGACGGTAGGCTGTGGGGTCTCTGCCTCAGGTGTCACCTCACAGCACCATGGTGGGGGGGAAGCAGCTCTTGCTGTATCTGTGTGGGTGGGGTCCCTCTCCACAGATGCCACCAGGCCAAGCTTCTTATATAAAGTATCCCTAGCCTCAACAGAGAAGGCCCATCCTCGCCTAGGACAATTCTTAGGATGCTCTTTAATCCTGAGGGATACGGAGTCAGGAGGTGACCTCAACATCTAGACGCCCAAAGGCTTACGTCTGTTCTGCACATTGCGTAGACAGCAGGAGCCCTGGCGAAATGAACAGCCTCGGGGTCCCCTCCCTCCTTCCTTTCATACCAAGTGCTGCCCCTCTGTCTCTCTCAGTTTGTCTCTGTCTCATTTTGCTGTCTCTCTCACCTGCCCACTTTTTCTCTCTCTTTTTGTGTGTCTCTTTCTGTCTTTTTCATGCTGTCCTTATCTCTGCCTCTCTTCTCGGTCTCTCTCTATTGCTGTCTCCCTCTCTCTGTTTTTCTCTCTCCCTGTCTCTGTCTTTGTCTCTTTCTCTGTCTCATGGTGTGTCTGTCTCTGTCTCTCTGTCTGCTGTGCTGTCTCTCTTTGTTTCTCTCTCTCTCATTTTCTGTCTGTGTGTATCTGTCTTTCTCTTTGTTTTTCTCTATGTGCGTGTGTGTCTCTCTCTCTGTCTCTTACTCTCTCACTTCTTTCATCTTCTCTCTAACCTGAAGTCCTACCTCTCAACTTGACCTTGCTGGCCTTCCACAGCGTAGCCCGTGCTCTCCTCCCGCACTGTCTCAGCTGACACTTCCCGCCCTGGCCAGTGCCCCTGTGCCTGTGTCTGTACGGCTGGGCCTTCTTTGCTGTTCAGCCAGTAGCATTTGCTCCTGCTCTGCACCTGCAGCACCCATCAGGATCTCTCCATGTACTTGGCCTTTCTCACCTGCACTGGAGCGCCAGGCTCCGTCCGGTCCCACCACCTATATTCTGCCCTGCATCTACAAGCCCCTTAAAGACCTCCCTCCTGTCCCTTCAGGGTCCCTAAAGCACCTAGCAGAGCTGGTGAGGCAGATCCTCTGGGAATCACAGATATAATAGATACATAGTCAATAGTTATGTTTCCCAGGAGGGAAAATGTCCTAGACATGGATTTGGGAGGAGAGACGGCCTGTGCCTCTTTTGGAAGATAACAGATAAACCTCGTTCATTGCCAGCCTGGTTGTTGAGAAGCCGGGATGTCACAGTGGCAAAGCTGGCATGAAAAGGTTGTAGTAACCACTATACCTTGCTGCTGTGTAGCAGTTTTTATTCAATGGAAACCTACTACGAGCGTTTTTTCATTGACCCAGCCTATCTGGCTTTGTTAAAAATGGTTAGAGCTTCGTTAGTATACTAAGAGGAGAGGATTAAAAAAAAAAAAAAACAAAAACTAAAAATGCTGGGCGCTGTGGTTCATGCCTGTAATTCCAGCACTTTGGGAGGCCGAGGTGGGTGGATCACCTGAGTTCAGGAGTTTGAGAACAGCCTGGCCAACATGGTGAAACCCCGTCACTACTAAAAATACAAAAAATTAGCTGGGTGTGGTAGTGGGCACCTTAATCCCACTAGTGGGCAGGTGAGAGAGACAGTGGAAGTTGCCACTGCACTCCAGCCTGGGCAACAGAGCGAGACACTGTCTCAAAACAAAACAAAACAAAAAACTAATTAGAACAAGACCTTGTTCTGTCAGGTCTCATAGTAATGAGCAGAGAGTTAATAGCTGTTGCTACTGTGTCTACTCAGAAGGAACCTTAAAGGCCATTGGCCTGGGTCTTCCCAGAGTCTAATTGAATACCAGGGGGTCTGGTGAGATGCATTTAAGCATAGATACCCTTTGATTGAGTTGTAACATAGTTACTTTAGTAGGTAATTTAAAAAATGAAAAAGAACTCAAACTCACAATTTTGTGGATAACATTTGGTTAGGATGAGATTAAAGCAGGTAGGACTACAGAGTTTCCTTTTAAAATAAAATATGTGTTTGGGCACAGTGTCTCATGCCTGTAATTCCAGGAGGCTGTGGAGAATTACTTGAGGTCAGGAGTTTGCGACTGGCCAGGGCAATGTAGCAAGACCTTTTCTCTACAAAAAATTTAAAAATGAGCTGGGTGGGTGCTATGCACCTGTAATCTCAGCCATTTGGGAGGCTGTTGTGGCAAGATTGCTTGAGGCCAGGAGTTTGAGACCAGCCTGGGCAACATAGCAAGACCCTGTCTCTTCAAAAACAAAAATTAAAAATCAGCTAGGGGCCAGGCGCAGTGGCTCAAGCTTGTAATCCTAGCACTTCAGGAGGCCGAGGCGGGTGAATCACGAGGTCAAGAGATCGAGACCATCCTGGTCAACATGGTGAAACCCCGTCTCTACTAAAAATACAAAAAATTAGCTGGGCATGGTGGCGTGTGCCTGTAATCCCAGCTACTCAGGAGGCTAAGGCAGGAGAATTGCCTGAACCCAGGAGGTGGAGGTTACAGTGAGCCGAGATCGCACCATTGCACTCCAGCCTGGGTAACGAGAGCGAAACTCCGTCTCAAAAAAAAAAAAAAAAAATCAGCTAGGCATGGAGGCGCATACCTACAGTCCCAGCTATTTGGGAGGCTGAGATAGAAGGATAGCTTGAGTCCAGTAGTTTGAGGCTGCAGTAAGCTATGATTGCATCACTGCACTCCAGCCTGGGCAAAAGTGAGGCCAGGTGCGGTGACTCACTCCTATAATCCCAGCGCTTTGGGAGGCCAAGGTGGGTGGATCACCTGAGGTCAGGAGTTTGAGACCAGCCTGGCCAACATGGTAAAACTCCATCTCTACCAAAAATACAAAAATTAGTCGGGTGTGGTGGCAGATGCTTATAATCCCAGCTACCGGGGAGGGGAAAGCTGAAGCAGGAGAATCACTTGAACCCAGGAGGTGGAGGTTGCAGTGAGCTGAGATCGTGCCACTATACTCCAGCCTAGGTGACAGAGCGAGACCCTGCCTCAGGAAAAAAAAAAAAGTGAATTAATGTAAAGAAAGGTGCATCATGGAACAGGTGAGGAAACCCAGGCAGCACCGGCAATGCCTGGCCTTTGAGATGTGCTCATATAGATTCCTCTCTAGTCTCAGGTCCTCCAGGGCCGGCCTGTGTGTGGATACATATGGGGAAGCAGAACTTGCTATTCCTCCCTTTCCATTTGTGGTCGTTGCTGGTTGTTAGCCAGTTCTTTTCCATGGGGAATATAAAGAAACTTCCTTGTGAGCTATGGAGGACTCAGGGCCATCCGAGATGACTCAGATCCCGTTCTCACCCTCTGCGGGTCCTCCTATCTCCTGAACATAGCTGCCTGGTGCCCGACTCCCTCCTCTGGTGCCCAGGGACATGTTCCCTCTTAATGGTGTCCCCAGTTCAGGCATGATCGGACCCACATACAGTGCCATGGCAGGTGGCCTCCTGCCTTGGCTGAGGGTGCCCTGAATACCCACATATGTAGGTCCCACCAGCTGGCTGACTCACACACCACACTCATTGCTGTTTCAGAAGAACAGGAAATGAGAGGTCAGACCCCATCATCTCCTGAGGTTCCTCCAGCTCTAAAGCCAAGAACTCACTGAAGTTGAAGATGCCTCAACATTCCCAGGGGCAAGGAGTCAATAAGCAAGCTCACTTTTTTTGATGGGGCTGGAGTGGCTTTCTCCATCTTAAGTGGATTTTATTTGAGGGATGAGATTGGAAGGCGGAAAGACACACGATGTTTGTTTGCTCCCTCCCTCCCTCCTTTCCTTTCCTTTTGCACACACTCTCTCTCTTCCTTTCTTTTCTTTTGAAATGGGGTCTCACTATGTTGCCCAAACTGTTCTCAAACTCCTGGCCTCAAGCAATCCTCTTGCCTCAGCCTCCGAAAGGGCTGAGATTACGAGTATGAGCCACTGTGCCTGGCCCCATGATTTTTCTTAGGGAGGAATTAGTTCCTGCCTGGACAGAGGCTAGATTTTGCCTCTAAGGTACCCTCATATTCAGACTTTTTGCAGCTTCTTACTCTGAGGGGC